TTCTTTTACTTAAAAAAGCACTTTGAGTGAGCTGCTTTGAGTGTTTTTTTAAGTACAAAAAATAAAATAAATAAATTTGGGGCGGGCTGTACGGAAGTCGCCTACAGGCCACATTCCCTGCGTGTCACCAGTTGCCTATCCCTGGTCCAGATTGATTATGATATTTTAAATGTGTTTTATAAAATTCTTTAAARAATAACTAAAAAAGTTGCTTTACTTCTTTAACAGTTAACCTGACCATCTGACTAACAGCCTCACTAAAGTCACCTAACTTTGATGATGCAAACTGTTTTCCTGTTTGAACCTGTTATGGCAATATTTATTTAACAAAGTCAGAAATACGTGGTCCAAGAATGAAGGTACTCYGTGAGATGATCAGCTGAGTTTTATTGCAACAACAGGAAACACAGAGAACCTGGCCTGTCTCTGTGCCTCTGCTTCTCTCTGTCACTCCCCAGGAGGGGGCAACGCCAAAATTTGTGGTGGCACGATTTACCAAGAATGCAGAAACACGTTGGAATAATGCCAGAAAAGTCTGCGTGTATGATAATCAAATATGATTTAATTATGAGCGACAAAAAAAACAAACCCAAAGGTGAACTTCCGCTGCTTGAACAAATGTACCAAATTGCCTCCAATCTGCTTCAACTTTTGCTGCGCCGCTCACTTTCCGACTCGCYGTTCGTTTAAAAGCCTAAAAGCCTTTTTGTAATGTTGCGTGTTGCCGGACGGAATGAGTCACTGCCGCGTTCTCTCCGGACTTCCTCGTGAAAAATCGACTCTGTGACTCAACCCTCTGACTTTATCCATCGCGTCGGGCTGCACTCTGGAAACATTGAGCTGTGAATGCATGGAGGGAAACAAGCGGGATAAACTGGTGGGAACGGGGGAAAAGTTGAGCGCTTGAATTTATTACTGAACTGTGCAAGTTTGCTTTAAGCTGTTGCAGATATCGCATGACTCCAGATATTTAATAAATAAACCAAATGACAGCAAAATCAATCCAGCYACATTAAACTCAGATAATTTATGCTTGCTTTTTTGGCTCTTGTGTTCAAAGCGTTGCTTATTTTAGAGGCTTGTAGTCAGAAAGTGGGGGGAGAAAACTCCAAAACCACCTCTTAAGTTTTTATTGCCCGTGGGTACATATTTCACACACCCTGGAATGGATGCTGGAAAAGTCTTTTTAAGTAATGCTCTGCTGTGTCCAAAACGTTTTAAATTTTTTTTCTGGAACATTTTCCTCCTCATAGGAAGTGATGCTGCTAGCACAACCAAAAAGAAGGAACAAAAGTCCTTTGTTTTAATAACAGTGTTTAGCATTTAGTGTCCCTCTTTTAGCTTTATTATTAACCTATATTATTAAAGGGATCCATGATTAGTTGTAGCATTAGACTTTATTTATTAAACATATATTTTAACTGTAGAATAAAGACTAAAAATACTGTAGGATGTTCAGTTTTATAATTTTTAAACTAAAAGTTTAAAAATATATTACACGGATGGGGCCATTTTATTTACACACAAAGCATTCTGGGTAAATGATGACGTGGATAGGTCCTCG